AGGGCTAGAGAATATGTAAATATAAAAGTGGACACTGAGTTCAAAACCCAGCAAATGACAATCTGTTGCATGCTTAAACACAATCTTCAGGGTATATGCATTGTGTTTTTTCTTGACAATTTATATATACAGGTCAGTGATGCATTGTGGGTAGTCTATTGTATTGTTCTAACAGTTATGTTGGTGGTCAGTAATGGTTATGTTTCAATTTATTCTCGGGGCTAATGAGTGAAAATAATTGTGGATCCAATTTTTTAATTATGGCAGATTTTCGCTAATTATAGTGTTTTTTGTTAACTATTTACTTATTATTTTATTGTTGGTTGTTCTTATTACATTTACTTGTGTTTATGTTCACATTCGTGGTTTGTTGTTTATTTTTTTACATTATTTATTTGTTTAGATTATTTTATTTTACTTATTTTTGTTTATTTATTCTATTTTTACTTATTCTTGCCTGTTTTCAGTTTTCCTTTTTTAAGTAACGCAGTAAAAATGTTTTCAAGTCTGCATTTTGAGATGAGTTCTGATCATTTATTTAGTAGTTTTTTTTTTGGTCTGGGAAGGTAATTATAGCTATTTTTTCCTCCAGGAAGAGTTTACATTTTTTGGATTGATTGTTGTAGGCTGATGTTCTTTTCCTTATTTTCCATATTTTTTGGTATGATTTATTTTTTGTTCAAATAAGATTTTAAAGCTTTAAGCTGTTTGCATATTTGCAATTTGTAAAGGATGTTTTGTGTCCATAGATATCTTGAAATACTAAAGAGTAAATTTATTCAATAAAATCGCCATTAGCTTCAACCACAGCCTTCAGAATCTCCTGCAACTCTTCTGATATATATATATATATATATATATATATATATATATATATATATATATATATATATATATATATACACACACATACACACACATATTAATGATATTTTATTAAAAAATATTTTACATTGTGACACAAAAACTTTTGAGACTTAAAATTTTTATCTCATCATCAAGCAATGTTCAGTAACTTTTTGATGAAAATGATTTACATTACATTATATATATATGTGTGTGTGTGTGTGTGTGAAAAATATAGAAAATAGGAAAGAACTCGTTAGGTAAATAATCCAAAGTTCTTTAGTATTTTTTAAATTATTTTTAAAAAATAGTGCTTTTATATAAAAAAGATTAAAATATAATTATTTATTTAAAAATATGATTCCAACAAAACATAAGAGTTCTCATGTTTCAAAACAAGAGCCGAAAACTTCAATATAATTATTTGAATTAAATTGAATTAAAGTACCAAAAATTGGTTTAAATGTCTGTTTTTTTTCTTTCAGAAAAAAATAAAAAATAAAGTAAAAAAATAAATAAATCTAGATAGACATTTAACCTGACTAGACAATGTCATCTTCTTTAATTTAGACACCCTAACCTTACCCTGATTTGACGTCTTTGAAAGTAACTGAGATACTGATACAAATTATTAACCCTTACACTCCTTTTCTTTAAATAATTGCTCTAGCTGTTACCATAGTAATTTTAATTTTAATAATGAATATGCTTATAAAACGCATAAATTTCAGGAATTAGTTATTCCAAAAAAAAATTTCGCTTGAAGATGGAACAGAGCTTGGTATTTTAATTCAATTCAAATAATTATATTGAAGTTTTCGGCTCTTGTTTTGAAACATGAGAACTCTTATGTAGCGTTGGAATCATATTTTTAAATAAAAATTAATTATTATATATATATATATATATATATATATATATATATATATATATATATATATATTTAACCTATAATGATAAGAATACATCATGCTTTTAAATTTATTCAGTTGGTCACTTAATCAAACAATAATTCCAGTTCTGCTTCTCTGGCCTTTTCTAATTTTAATTGTTCTTCGATGACCTGCATGGAAAGGAAAAGGAATTATATCACAAATGCCATCAAAAGAAGTCAGACAAAATGAAACAGATGTGGACAGATGCAAACAGATGCAAACAGCTAATACAAAGACAAAAAATTGTAAACTCTTTGCCTTACTGACACGAAGAGAGGTCATCCACTATTTCTAGTCCCATGAAGACGTCTACAATCATGACCTCCAGACCAGATGTCAACAGACATAATGAAGCATGTATAGTTTTTGTTTTAAGTAAAAACATATGTGGTGAATATATCAGGTCAAATACAGATTCAGGCAGCAAGGCTTCTGATTGAGAGATTGGAGACTTTGAGGAATGTGGAACCAGCTCTTAATTGCTGTTGTTCCCAGGTCCATCATGACTTGGTGTGGTTGTACCTGTTAGGGTCCAAGCTATGAGCAAATAGTGAACACGCAAACAAAAACAAAATTCTATAAAATTATAAAAATACATCTTGATATAAAAAGAAAATTACCAACAATACCTATTTATAATAAAATTACCAACAATACATCAACCGACATGAAAGAACTCTTTCATGACATTAATCCATATAATATCCTACAATTTCTTTAAGAAATCAAACTATATTCCAAAATATAACTTCAACATAAAACACACCTATCGACACTTCTAATAATTATACCTGCACAAAAATGTATATTCTGCAAAAGCTGAGAATCTTTTACCATGTATTCAATTGTGAAAGCAGAATAACGTATATCATATTTTTATTATTTCAAAGAAAATTAAATTTCAGCATTAAGCGACCCATAAGGAGTTGATATGTTATTAAACAAACAAATCAAATCAACAAATATGGGCAGATACTATACCAATATTATTGCCATATTTTCTTGTGTACAATACAAGAAATTTTGAATGATAATTGAAGGGAAAAAAGGAGGATTGTATTTATTTATTTTTTTAAATTGATATCACCCTATACAAGGCAGTACAGCCACTAAAACACAAGGGGTTGCAGGGTGTGGAAGAATTAGGAACAGAAACATTAATAATGAGCGGAAAAAGAGAAGATAGCAATCAGATGGACAAAAGATAGTGATTGACATTACATTTAAATTTTTGAAGTCTAAAGTTGTCTGGAAAGCATGGAGCTGGAAGGGAGTTCCACAAGCAAGAAGTACGATATAAGAAAATAGAATTTATGGCTACACCTAACCAGCTCAATGGCAAATTGATGAGATCTCACCGCCAGTTTAGTACTGCACTTAAATTCATACAGTCTAGGTACTATAGTGAAGAGCTCATCTGAACAATTATCATGAAAGTATTTATAAAAAATGACACAGAGAGGCAACCTTGTGGTAGTGGGACTGGAGCCGAGCTGCCAGATCAGGACCAATAATATTGCTGATTCTTCTCTGGATCCTATATTATACATAAGTACGCTTTTTTAGAAAACTTATGAAACTTATTTGAAACAGCAAGAATGCAAATCCACTCATTACAATAGATAATAAAAGCTCAAAGTCAGCAGGTGTTGACAACAATTGTTTATAAAAGGTATTTACTATGTCAGCTTTATTTGTTCTTTGGGAGTCAGTGTAATTGAAAAAAATTTTATTTCAAAGTCAGGAAATTCACTGAAATTAATCAAAAAAATTAATAAAGGGAATACACAATGTCTGTCATGTTTTGATAACATTAAATTTTAAGACATTTTTTATATTTATACATTCTTTTTATAGATACAAATATTTAAGTAAATGCTCTGTTTATAATAAACAGTATTAACAACATTTACCGGCCTGAATGTCCAAGAAATTGTCATAGTAAATATTCGTCCTCCAACAAGAATCGAACCTGTATCCTATACAGAACCATCATATAGGCTGATGTGCTTTTACCGATTGAGCCACAGAGGAGAGTTTCAGTTAGCAAGGTTGATTTTACTGTCTTTAATTGGTAAAAGCACGTCAGGCTATATGACAGTTCCGTATAGGATACAGGTTCAATTCCTGTCGGAGGACGCATAAAAAAATGTCTTAAAATAATTGTCAGACTTTGTCCATTTCATAATGTATAACATTAAATGTTACAACAAAATATCTTTCCCAAAGATTCAAAAATAAGTTTTGAAATGTAAATTAGGAGAAGAAACATGAAATGGCTAAGCATCCGGTTCATTTCTTTAATATAGTGAAAAATGAAATATTTTAGTGAAATATATGTTTTTAATTTCAGAAATACAGGATTCTATGATACTCAGGTTGTATTACACACAAGAAAATATAGTATGATAAACTGGGAGAGAGCAGATTTGGCCAGATAAAAAGATCTAATGATTCTTGATTCTCATTGTGCTCTGCCTGGTACTACTTAAGATGTCGTCTAGAGATGATATTGTGGTGGTCTATTTGTTTTTCTCGCCCCATGTCAAACATCAGGGTTACCATATGTAGTGGTGGTATATTAATAAGCATGGACAATTGTAGATGTCTGTTTATGGCTGCATGAATGACATGACCACACAATTTATATTTGACGTAAAATTACCACAAAACATGAAATACAAGAAGGAACAGAAATGGTTTTAAAAACATAACATTTGTATTTGTTTGTGTGTTGATGTACATGCGTAGAAGTTAAAGATGTGTTGGAGTTATGTCCCTTAGATTGTGAATATTTTTATCTGAACTCACAAAAGTTGAAATAATTACAAAGCTGAGAAATGCTTCTGCTGTGTAGCTTTAAAAGAATGTTTCAAAGAGAAAAGTTCTTGTTGCTTGTTTGAAATGTTCTGTATGTTTGTAATGTAGTTTGGAAAAGTTTGTACATACATGCATGCATGAATATGCTTTTAACATCTGACCATCCATGGTCGAGACGAGAATCCTTTTGGGACTACATCTATTGCATAACTGGCAAGAGAGAAAAAAAAAGCAACACAAGCCTGTGTGTTGTTGCTTCCAGATAGATTGATTCTGTAATTCACGTGACAGGATCAGGTAAAATTGGTAGGAAACCTGACTTGGTCACACGCTGGAAAAATATTTGTACATGGGTGGATTGCAACGCCCGCTTATGTGTTTATTGACCAATTAGAAGCTGATATTTCTTGAAAATATTTACTAAGCTGAGTAGGCTCTCTGATCTACTTTTTTTGCACAAAAATGTACAAAATTCAACATTGTAAGAAAGTGGTAGTGGGATGCTACAACATGATTAAGGGTTATTAAAAACAGAAGTTAAGACCAGATTAAATTACTTTTCATAGTATACATCAATTTAGCTTAGGGGGTCAATTAGACATATTTGTCAGAGAATGGCCATATAATTTTGGACAAAGAAATCAGTGATTCATGAATAAGAAGGAGTTGCGTCCCCTGTTTTGTTATGTTATGGTTTTGGAAGGCAAGTAAAATTTTCATAATGTGCTAGAAAGAACAAAACAAAAAGACATTTTTTCTTAAATGAACTCACAAGAAAGATGTCTCTTTATACAGATAAGCCTAAAATCATTTCTTTTTTTTTGCATTAATACAAAACAAATGTACAGGGTTATTCACAAAGAAAGAACAGATTTTGAAAATTTAATAAAAAACAAATGCTAAGAGATGGAAACACATTCAATGCATTACTCGATAGGAAAAGCTTCAAAGTTTAAGGTTACACTTCACAAATTGCAGGACAGAAAATGACTTTTCTTGGGGTGTGGTCATTTTAAGGTTTGGTGCAAATTATTATTTAAATTTATGCAAAATCTGAAAAAAAATGAAAGGTGAGAACCCTACCACCACAGGTCACAGTGGACCTGGGAACACCGGCAATTAAAAAGTGGTTCCAAGCTCCTCAAAGCCTCCGGATCAGAGGCTTTGCTGTTGAATGTAGTTTATCATCTTACCCTAGGATGCAGATGTAGTTGTCATCATACACAGGACAGACAAAATTTAGAATTGAATAATAAAACAATAAAAAAGAAAGAGAACGGTCATTACTTCTTTCATCCATTGGGCATCTGCAATAGCCTTCTCCTTCTTGACTGCTTGCATTTCATCCAATTCAGCATCCTTTACTGCCAGAAGTTCCAATAACTTGTGATCTTCCTCCTGAAAAACAACAATGGAACAGAAATTAAATACCATCCATCCATTATTATAAAGTTTTGACGAATATTTCTTTCATATTCTACTGCTTTTTATCGCAACTCCTAAGTAGACACTATTATTGATCAGTAATACAAATTGGAAATTGAATATTGTATATATATATTTTTAAACTCAAATTTTATTTTCATGTTTATAATCTATTTTTTTTTTGTAATTTCTGATCAAATGAATTGGATCACTAATTACAATTAGCAATGTAATAAATTATAAACATGAAATATTCTAGTTCTTTGCATTTTAATTATATTCTTAAATGTCCTTACATTGAGTTCTTCCTGTATTCTATCCTCTTGGAAATTTATATATATATATATATATGCAGAAATATAGTTTTAAAATTTGATATATTTATGGGATAAAGTTTTTAAGATCATTTATAGATTTGTAAATATATATATTAAAGTTTTAATTGACGTCAACACTCAGACATCAAAGCTCATGCTAGATGCAAATCATCAATGATTTTAAATATATATATATATATATATATATATATATATATATATATAAATTGACCAATGATATTATTAATTTATAACTACATATAAAAGATAACACTGACTGGTCAACATTCTTATTATTTTAAGATATTAAATCATTCTACAAGTTTGGTTTTTCTACTTGAAATTGAGCACTTTTTAACACAGATAATCAATTTTAACAAATATTTCAATTTTTTTTTTTTTTTCTCTCAACTCCAGAGCATTATCTCAAATTTCCTAATTTCTATCACTTATATATCCATGCTTGAAATGGCTTGATGCCCTTACATGAGAGGCTTTTATAGTAATCAAGTCTATTACATGGAGGCACAGTCCGATGGGTAAATATCGGGTCAGATGATTTTACACCAAGGAATTTGTGATTGAAGTAAAACTATATTCATTTCTAATTCATTACCTTTTTTGTCACCGAGGCCCATTGGAACAGTTGGTATGAATCATTTGCCTGATAAAATACGAATCTGTCCAAAACCATTTTCTCACACAGTGAATTCCACTGCTGATGAGTCCCAAATTTAGGACGAAACGACCATCCAGTCCTTTAGTTTGGGTTCTGTTGAGCTTTATTCTTTTACTTGATGAATTAAAATTATAATTATCTCAAATCCTCCTAATTTCTATTCATTTATTTAAAATAATCAAATAGGGTCGTTTTAAACCTTTATACAATGATATTTTGGCCCTTCAAAAAGTGTGGATAGTTTTGAAAAACCTTAGTTAAAAATGCTTCATCTCATGTAACTGAATGTTGGGTTAAAAATATCTGGATTTATATTCTAACTGATCTGCCTAACCCATTATTTTGGTCAAAGTCAATGGGAGAGTCGAATTATTTTACACACAACATATATATATATAATAAAAAAACATTCAGTGCTTCTTAATAAAAAAAGTGCACAATGTAATATAATACAGTTATAAATTATATATTAATAAATTTACATTTTTTTTTCATCACCAGTAGCATGACTGAGTTTTATGCACAATGCAATCTTCAGGTGTTGAATTAAGACTGTTACATAATTTAAATATGTTAAATATATCGGATTATCGTAATGGTGGTGTGGTCCATATTTTATACAGGGATTGTTGTTAAAAAAAGTGTGTGTGTGCATGCGTGTGTGTCAGCAGTCAACTCCTAATCAAACAATACCCTTTTTTACTTATTTATTTAGTACCTAAAAATGTTGCTAAGGATACAAGCATTGTTTGGCAGGCCCAGACCAGGTATGTCTATAAAGATGACCTGCCCAAGACAGATTTACATAAACAGACACATTTATGTGCTGGGTAGTGGAGGTTTAAACTCAGTGGAAAAAGGATGAGCAATAACTGATTAGTACTAAATAAAAAAAAAAGAACATATCCTGAAACATGGACAGTGGAACAAGAACAATTTACCACTCCTCCTTGTAGATTAAATAAAGTGTTCAGTCCAAAATTTCCTGATGGCTACTGTTATAATGCTCGTACACCCTTGTGCAAATTAATGGAAACAAAATGAATAATTCCATTATTATTTACTTCTTTTTTGTATTTTTCCAATGAAAACATGACCCAGTGCACATATCGATACTCGGATGTCTATTCCACAAAATCATTTCTTGCAGATTGACCACAGATTCTTGATTGGATTGGCGAGATTCCAGGCCAGTCTATAGTACTTTGATTTGCTCACTGGTAAGGCTTGCCAGTGTATTCATTCAGCATTACAATTTTCGTACGCTTGGAGTAACGTCCATCGCAGACAATGACCGTAGGACAACTAATTGACAGTCAAGACAATAGTGCCTGGGTGAGATAAAAAATCTAATGCAATCACGAATGGCACAAAATTTTTCAAGGCCAAACAAATTTCATCATACATCCTGAAAATAGATTCATATTACTGCACATCACTGCAAATGACCTAATCTGAGGAAAAAATAGAAATCGATTACACCCTGTCACTCCAGTGGGTCTAAAACTGACCGTATGGTGAAAGAAAGGAAACTAAAGCGGTTGTTTCAATTAATTTGCACAAGGATGTATATATAGCAAATGTTGTTCATTTAATTATATTTCAAAAACGAGAAGGAAAGATATAATCACACAAAGGACATGGATTAATAATACAATAATAGCGAATACAACAGTTCCATGTTTTAATGCGTGGGTTAACAACACTATAAATGCCATCTTAGCCGAATAAATTGTTCTAAATACAGTGAAAAGTGAGTCTAAAGTTTAATGTATAAGTTTGAATTTGGTCATCTTTCTAAACAACAGTTACCCAGATCAACAAGCCTTTGATGAAGGCTGAAAAAAATGTTCACAATAATTTCCAAAACAACTTATTCCAATAACTTCAAAGAAATACAGAATAAAGTCCAAGTGTAAAAATAGTGCACCACCATGACTTGACACCTTTGAATTATCATTTTTGGAGAGAGCCTCTCAAACAATTATTTGGAAAGCAGTGTTTAAATATTTTTTCCTCAATGAAATTTACCCACTTTCAAGTTTACTGGATACCACATTTCTAAGACTGCTTTTCATTTATTGCGTTTTTTGCAATTTAACCAGTCTGTATGGTTCATATGTAGAAATGCAGTATAGCAACATCTGCACAATTCTTTTATACTAAATACATGCGATTAGTATATGTTTGTACTTTTACTTTTTTTTGGAATAATACCAGAATTTAAAAACAGCATCCAAAGTTGTACTCAATTTTAGCCTTTCACTTTTTTTCTTTTTATTGGTTTTATTTCTTGTTTCATTACAAATCTTTAAATTTTTTTTTGGGCATTTAAAGTGAGAGATTTATCAGTTTAAAAAGAATAACAAGGAACTTTTCTTTTAACAGAGGCTTAAATTAATTTTCTTTTCTTTTGTTTTTCACATTTAAAAACAAATGATCTTGAACTTCTTTTAGATTTTTATCAGAAAAAACTTAATGATATGAACCAATCAAAAATTAATAGATTTTATTTTTACTTTTTTTCCAAGAGCTATATATATAAATATATAAGATCAGAGCCTTCATATTTTTTTATTCCTTCACCTCTGCCTCCCTATATTATATAGATAGAAAAAGAGAAATGAGAAATACCCAAATATCCAATTTCTACCTTGTTGGATCCAGAACATGAACCAGAATTTAACTCATCATACTTCTATCTATCCCACCAGCAATACTTTCCTGAATTAAACATGTGTTTGTTTTTAAACTCCAGTTTTTTTCCAACAAGGCAAATTTCATAATATAATTTTGGAAAAATAATTTTTTAAATTCACATTGTACATTTATATATTATATATATATATATTATTTTAAATATATATATATAATATATATTTATTGTTAAAAAATATTCTAAATATATTTTCACCTCTAATAATTCATCACTAAAAAACTCCAACAAACTTTGTTTATCATAAACCGGATAAAAAAAAGTGCTATTTCTAACAATTTTTTTTGATTAAAAATGGTTCAGGTTTCCTATGAATTTTGCACCCCAATTTAAAAGGAATTTAGAGAAAAATGCATAATTAATTTTTTGTTTCCCCCCTCCACAAACTCCATATTAACTTTGCAGCCCACCAAGAATGCCCTGCCTCAACCCTTCTTAAAAATCTTTACTTTTATTTACCCATAATGGAAATCCTCCTGAAAAAAATTTGTTATCTTATAAAGCAGTATTTTTCCCAAAGCCAACAATAACAAATTTTCATTTCTTCAAATATCATCCATTACATTAACCCATTTCCTTTTATTTTCTATGTGCCACTTTATAAGGTTTTATTTACTATATATATATATTATATATATATATATTTTTGTGTGATTTGTGTGTGTGTAAAATTCAATGAAAATCCTGAAGAAATGATTGCCAATAGTTTGTTATAGATAATTTCAAATTTAAAATAAATTTTGAAAATTTCACTATCCAAAGAAATAACTTTACTAACCTTGTCTGTAATCTTCACCTATTCAAATTAACATTCTCCTTCTCCCTATGTTAAAATTTCCCCTGTTAAATTTGAATTCCCTTTGACTAAATTCCACTAAATGCCCCCAATGCCATTCCAAAAATTCACCCATCCCAAAATCCATTTGGATTAAAAAAAATATGAAGAAAATAGAAAAGTGTGTTGTTTATTTTAAAAAAAATTGAATTTATTCTCTCATCATATTGAAATATAATATATATATATGTATGTTGAGTATATAGTCATATAATATATATACATAAATAGAATGTCCTTTAGATGAAATAATTTGAAATAAAAAAATAATTTCTAGATTATAAATAACAGGCTTGAATTTAACAAAAACACAATTCTAAAATAGATAATATATAATATATTATAGAATATATATATATATATTATATATATATATATATATATCCTGTTTAAAAAAATTATGATATCCTGATTAAATGTACTTTCAGATGATATCCTGTTGATCCTTCAAATAGATGATATCCTGATAGTAAATAGATGTTTCATTCCATCAGATGATATCCTGATCTCCTTCAGATGTACTTTCAGATGATATCCTGAATGTTTCGATTTTCAAATGTACTTTCATTTGATATCCTTTATATTCCTTCAGATGTAATTCAGATGTAAGATCAGATGAAAATCCTGTTGTCCTTCAGATGTACTTTCAAATGATATCCAAAGACGACATTATTTTGATGTATATTTCATATGATATCCTGATTGTCCTTCAGATGTACAAATCCTTGATATCCTGTTGTCCTTCAGATGTACTTTCAGATGATATCCTGATCTCCTTCAGATGTACTTTCAGATGATATCCTGATAATGGAATAGATTAAAAGATGATATCCTGTTGTCCTTCAGATGTAATTTTTTATAAATATAATATGATTTCATGATATCCTGTCAGTTTGAATTAATGTCAGATGATATCCTGTTGTCCTTCAAAATGTAAATTTCAATATGATAAAAATCTTTCAAAATCATGATATGTTTGTCCTTTGTCTTTCAGTTTATCCTGTTGACCTTCAGATTTAATTTTTTGATAAAAAGATTTCCTTCAGATGTTTTCAGATGATAAATAATTTTTCCTTCAGATGTAAAAATCAGATGAAATCCTGTTGTCCTTCAGATGTTATTAAAAATGATATCCTGTTGTCCTTCAGATGTACTTTCAGATGATATCCTGTTGTCCTTCAGATGTACTTTCAGATGATATCCTGTTGTCCTTCAGAACAGTAGACCATTGATAAATATCCAATCCTTCAGATGTACTTTCAAATGATATCCTGTTGTTGATTCAGATGTACCTTGTTAAAAGATGATATCCTGATCCTCTTCAGATGTACTTTCAGATGATATTTTTTGTCCTTTTTGAAACTTTCAAGAAGATCTTTTTAAATGTATGTCATTCAGATGATATTTGAAATGAATGTTTTTCCTTTCAGATGAATGAAGAAGATGATTTCCTGTTGTCCTTCAAATGTAATTTTTTGATGATTTCCAAGGTCCATAAGATAACCTTTCAAATGATATCCTGATTATATAGATGTATTTCATTTGATATCCTGTTGTTATTCAGATAAATATATATAGATGATATCCTGATCCTATCAGATTTATTTTTTTTGATTTTCATATTTCCTTCAGACGATGTACTCTAAAATGATATCCTTTTCCTTCATTATTTCAGATGATATTATTGATGCAAAGAATCTGTACTTTTCAGATAATATTAAGTGTCCTTGAGATGTGGATTATTTGATGTCAAAAATTATTTGCAAAATAATATCCAGGTTCCTCCAGATTTTTTTCAGATGTCTTTCAGAATGTCTTTCAGAAGAATATTTAATTATGTTTTTTTTTTTTTTTTTCAGATTATCCTGATGAAAATTCAATTTTTGAAATGTAATTTCCTTTAGATAACTTTTTTTATTTTTTTTTTATGTTTTCATTAATTTCATTTGATTTCCCATTAATTGAAAATAAGTTTAAATATCTTTTATTTCCAAATACTTTTTTAGGAAAATTTCATTTTTTTTCAGATTTCCATTTTTTCAGATATTTCCTCAAATTCCAATTAATGAAGGCAGATAATATCCTGTTTTTTTATTGAACTTCCAGATGTCTTTTAAATTTAGATTATGATTCAGATAATTTTTTTTTCTTTTTTTTATTTTCAAATATGTTTCAACTTTTTAAGTTTATATATTCAATGTTCTTTTCTCTTTCAACACCAATATAATTGTTCAGATAATTTTATAACATAACTTTGAAAAATGTTCTTTTCAAAGCAATTGGTTTGTTTTTTTTCTTCAGATGAAAAGAGGATCTTCATACATATAAATGAACAGAAAAATCCATGATATATATTGTCTGCCGTGAATGGTCAAGTACCCAGATGTTATCTTGAAAAATTAAAAACAGTCCCAATGTGATGGAATAGTTGAATATATTGTCTGAAATTAAATGTTGTCTCTATTTCATTGCCAAGGTTAAAATTCATTCTTTCTCAAATTCAGCTGGTATTCACAAATAGTTTTTCAATAAAAATAAATTTTCAAAAAAATTTAGGTGATTAATAACTATAAATGAAAATGCCCATATAAATTTAAAAAAAGATACTAAATTTGGAAAAATAACAGACAGATTTTAGTGGTTGACACAGTTAACTGAATGAGAAACAGGTCAACTTTCATTAAATAAAAAATTTTATTTGAAACTTCCTTTCCTCTTATTGACAAAAATTGATGCTATAATCTTTACAAAATTGCCAACAATGTAAAAATTGAAAATTTCTGAATGTAAATACCCATTGAAAAAGATCTTTTAATAGACCTTTCTTCAAATACCCTCTTTTTTCTTATTTCTCCAAATTTTTGCTTTTTTTTTTTCTCCGTGTCCATCCTTCAAATCTACAAATCTACCATTCGTCCAACATTGCCTGATTTGCCATATATGGTCTGGTGTCCCCCTGTTTAATCTTTTTTACTGAACAAAAATTGAAAAGATTGATATATCAATGAATCATGCATTTCATTTCTTTAATCTTCTCACTTTCTCATCTATTTAATGTGATGCTTCCCTTTGTCACTTCTTAATAGATTCCAGGAAGCTGTAATGGATAACGCTAATGGCAGACCACCAGACAGTCTCCGTAATCTTTTGTTGGTTTAATTTCAGTTTTGGAAAGTGTCTGGGTCCATCGTCATGATCAAACCACTGAGCCGATTATTTACGATTGCCATAAAGGATCAAGAAATGGATTATTCAAATTTCACAGATACAGCATCAAACACATGTCAAAATATCAAACATTATTGCATTAGAGTAAAATGCTTAAAAAAAAAAAAAAAAAATATCCAGATGCCCTAGAGATAATATATCTTTTAGATAATATCTAGAGGTCCTCCAGATGCTATTTCAGATGTTCTCCAGATATTTTCCAGATGATGTGCTGATTTCTTACAGCTTGGTAATATCTTGATATATTACTGAAATTTCTTCCTAATTAGTGTGTGTATTTCAAGAATTGTTCCCAGCAGCCTGCAAGATTTATTCGGGGAATTCAGATTTCTTCCAAGCTGATCATAGATTAATGCATCAGTTTTAAATTACAGTTTTAACAAAAACTAAATTAAATTTTATATTTTAACATTTTATTCTTCAAAAATAGTCACACATGAACATAACCTCCATCTTTCTCATCCTACATTTTAGACATTTAAGAAAAAAGATAAAAGCCTCACCCAAAATCTTGCTTTCTTCTGTTAGCTTCAAGTCTCCTGCGGTTTTCTTCAATTTCTACAAGTTGTTGTCGTTCCATCATAATCTTATCTTGTTTCTCTTTTAACATGGCTGCCTACAGGATAAAGATTTACAAGTGAAAATAGCAAAAGAAGTATCACCTTTGCTGTGGCCAGGTATTGAACTCACAACTCTTTTTGGTCAAGTCAGTGGCCCAAAGAGTTGTTGTGAGTTCAATACCTGGCCACAGCAGAGGTGAACAAAAACATGGAAGAGTTGAATTACTAAAGGTAAATAACTGAAACTGAGACATTCAGAAAAGGCATGGCATGTGAAAGTAGAACAATCTACCTGACAGGATGAAACAAAGGGTTCAGTTTGAAATTCCAACGTGTATGACCTGAAGAAGGCCAGAGTGTACAATGGCTGAAATGTTGTGTATATGACAATAAAAATGAGGACAGCTGTCTGAACAATGTAAATAGTGTAAATAGTTACCACACCTTGTCTCAGAAATATAGACAGATCCTGAAAAAGGCCAAAGCATACAACGGCCAAACTGTTATGAATATAACAATAAAGATGAGAACAGTCCAAACAATGTAAATATTACAAATAGTTACAATACCTCACCCCAGAAATATGGACAGATCCTGAAGAAGGCCAAAGAATACAGCAGCCGAAATGTTGTGTATATAACAATAAAGATGAAAACAGTCCAAACAATGTAAACAGTGCAAATAGTTACAATACCTCACCCCAGAAATATAGACAGATCATGAAGAAGGCCAAAGCATGCTATGGCCGAAATGTCATGAATATAACAATAATGATGAGAACAGTCCCAAAAATGTAAACAGTGCAAATAGTTACAATACCTCACCCCAGAAATATAGACAGATCCTGAAGAAGGCCAAATGTGGGGAAAATAGAAACGGCCTACCTCGCAAACGTTCTCGCATCTTCCTGGCCTGTGGGTTGAGAAAGGAAAGAAAAGATTCAAAATGGCGTCCGTGACTTTTAATATTCACGGTCTCTCGTGCAGTCACGCAAAAAGTCGCGTTACACACATGCTAATGAGGTGTGTCTGGGCTCCATAAAAGCAGGTTGCTTGGAGACATTGGCAGACCAACATTTCACCCGTGCTTGGTGTACATCGTTTTGCGTTGCAGACATTTTCAGACGGAAAGAGTTGCGTCCCTTACACTGTTTAAGTCGACTCATTTGCTACAAGCTATTTTGGCAATTATTACAGCATGGACAGATTCGACTTGAAGTTAATACCAGAGTTCGACGGCTCCCCCGCTGGCCCGTCTGTGGTCGAGTGGTGGGAAAAAGGCCGAGCGGGTCTGCCGGCTGTGTAAAATTAAAGATCCCGCACTGGTTATCCCTCTTAGACTCACCAAAGGAGCTTACGCTGTGTATCAGCAGCTAAGGGATGACGCAGACTTGGAGGAAATAAAACAAGCTCTATACGCAGCATTTGGTGCGGACCCCTTTGTCGCCTGGAGGCAGTTTATTTGGGACGGCTTGGACCGGATGAAACAGTAGATGTCTTTCTGGCCGATTTGAGGAAGCTGGCCGCACCGTTCGGTGGAGCAAAATACCAAATCCTAGGATGCGCCTTTTCTGCAGGACTCCCAGACAACGCAAGTTTTTGCTACGAGCATCATCGCCAAGGCTCAATGAGCTGGGGCTAGACGAATTACTGGCCAGAGCCCGAATATTCTAAAAGATGACGCGGAGCCGGCCTCAGCAGCTGTGGAAGCACCCGCACCGCCAACTGAGGACATAAGGTGCTATAAGTGTGGCGGACTGAACCACTTCTCCAAAGACTGCCGAAGCCGTGCGAAGGATACGCATAACCGAGGAACACGGAGACGTATGCGTTGCTACAGGTGCGACAAGCTGGGCCACGAAAGCAAGAAGCTGTCCGGAAACGGGCAAGGGGAGTAAGCTTCGCCGCCAGTCTTCTCCCCAGATCGCCGCTGAACAAGGCGCTACCCGCAGTGAAAGTGCGGATTATCGGGCGGAGCGCTTCGCGCTTGTTGACACCGGGTGCACCCAGACCCTTGTGCGCAAGGCATGTTGTGACACGTGGGACAAGAAAAATATTCCAGTTCTGACTGTTGGCGGGGCTCGCTAACCTCTTGTGGAGTGAGCGTCATCCGCGCAAGCATCGGCGATGGGCCTGCAGTAGCTGTACAAGCCCTGGTCGTGGACGGAGGGCTGCTCGGCTATGATCTGCTCCTGGGAATGGACGTCATCAAAAATTGGGTGGTGTCCGTGTTGACGAAGAGGGTCATTTTGCGTTTCACTGAAACAGGTCTAGCTCTAGGTGCAGCAATGGAGCTGGAACGGCCTGACTTTTACGTGGAGTTCGACCAGCGCACAAAGTCCTGGACGGTATCTTGGAAATGGTCAGACGATCAACCGCCAGAAAAAGCTGTACAACAGTGTGCCGGAGTATAAGATCCCCCGCGAGCTCGTGCGGAGTACGACAAGGAATTGCGAGCCTGGATTAATAACGGGTGGTTGGTTCCTTATCCAGAGAAGGAATTAGGGCCCCAAAAGGGCCTGATCCCGCTAATGGCGGTTCTCCAGCACAACAAACAAAAGGTGAGGCCGGTGCTCGACTATCGAGAACTGAACGAGCACGGGACCCTTTACTGCCCGCGCGGACGTGTGTACCGAGAAGCTAAGGGAATGGCGACAAGCAGGATCAAATGTATCTGTGCTGGATCTTCGCAAGGCATACCTTCAAGTGCGTGTGCACCAATCACTGTGGCCCTATCAAACCGTGCTTATCAAGGGGCAACGGTATTGCCTGACCTGCATGGGGTTTGGACTCAATGTGGCGCCATCGATTATGCAGATGATTGTTGACGCCATTCTAACGAAGGATGAGCGCATACAGCGGGCAACATCTGCATATATTGATGACGTGTACGTGAACGAGGGAGTCGTATATATGGCGCGCGTGAAGGAGCATCTCTACAACTTTGGCCTCCTCAGCAAGGAACCGGAGACTACAGGATGGTGCACGGGTGCTTGGTTTGCAGGTCTGGGGAGAAGATAACGTCCTGTATTGGAAACGGGGAAACGAACTCCCAGACATGCCCTCCGTTGTCACGCAAAAGCATATTTTCCTTGTGCGGCAAGTTAGTTGGACACCTTCCTGTAGGTGGCTGGCTGCGTGTTGCGGTGGCGTTTATCAAGCGGAGAGCATCTGACGTCACCACTGGATGGGATGACGAAGTTCACGACGCCCTCTCAACACCATGATGAAGGAGGTCCTCGCTAGAGTACGCAAGGAAGACCCAGCGCGGGGCAGATGGTGCGTTGACAGCCAAGACCTCTGTGTGTGGGTTGACGCAAGCTCTCTTGCAACCGGCGAAATGATAGTTCACGATGGAGCCGTGGTAGAAGATGCTTGCTGGTTACGTCCAGAAAGGGACTCCCAGCACATAAACCTAGCGGAGCTCGATGCTGTCATCAAGGGATCAACTTGGCGATCCTCTGGAAGTCGACCACCCTGCGTCTGTTCACTGATTCCGATTGCGTTTATAAGTGGATCTCTGATACCCTTGACCGGGAGGGCCAGGGTGCGGACTAAAGCCACCAGCGAGATGCTTATCCAACGACGGCTCGACACGATCGTGAATTTAGTGCAAGAGTATGCACTGACAATGGAGGTGTCCCTGGTCAAATCTAGCCTCAACAAAGCAGATTGTTTAACGAGGGTGCCGCAAAGGTGGCTTGACGCCGCTTAAGAAAGCCATTGAGCCCGTGCAACCAGCCTGCGCTGCGTCCGTGAGTCCCGTTCGATTTAATCAAATCAAAGAAGTCCACCAACAAAGTGGGCACCCTGGAGTCAAGCGGACACTGTATTTCGCCAAGTTGGTTGACCCAGGAGTACAAAAAGACAGACGTCAGGAGAGTGGTCAGAAGCTGCGTGGCGTGCCAGTCTATAGACCCAGCACCCGTTCACTGGAAGAAAGGGCAGCTGAGCGTGAGGAACCACTGGAGCCGGCTGGCGATAGATGTTACTCACCACAACGGCGAGCATTTCCTGACACTCATTGATTGTGGTCCATCCAGGTTTGCGATATGGCGACTGCTGCGTCGGCAAGATGCAGCCACTATCATCCGTCAGTTAAACAGCATCTTTCTTGAACGTGGCCCCCAACGGAGATATTAACCGACAATGGCACCGCATTCACCAGCGAGCAGTTCAAGAAGTTTGCGGATGGCTGGGGAGTGCACTTACGGTTCCGGTGCGCCCGTAAAGTGGAAATGGAATCATCGAACGGAACCACAGGACCGTCAAGACCATCGCAGCCAGGACGGGCTGCACGGTGTCTGAGGCGGTCTACTTATACAACGTGACCCGAAGGATGATGTCTCACCCTCACGGCGCCAGCAGACACATTGCATAGGTACCACGTTAGAGTGAAGGGCATAGAAACCAACCCACTGACGGAACTGAAAGTAACCGGAGAGGCTGAAGAAAGGCGATGTCGCCTGGATTAAAAATCCGCACAGCAAGTGCACCACGAAATACGGAATCGGACGCGTCACTGAGGTGATCAGCCCACAGGCGGTAATGTCGACGGTGTGCCCCATCACGTTAAGGACCTGCGTCCGTTGACGCAGTTGCAACCACCGCTGGACGATGAGAGCGAATCGGAATCTGAGACCAGTGAGGCATCGCTCTGGTTCACGCCAGCCCCATCAGGCAGTGACTCGATATCAGTAGCCTTCCAGGGGACGCGGTGTCTTTCGACCCTCAGACCTCAGACAGGAGCACAAGCAACGATGAGGCTCGCAGCGTCCCTCTTCAAGAAGTACCCGGCGCAGCGATCACCACCTCCCTGTCAACTCTGTGATCATGAGATCAGGGGAGTGTGGGGAAAATAGAAACGGCCTACCTCCCAAACGTTCTCGCATCTTCCTGGCCTGTGGGTTGAGAAAGGAAAGAAAAGATTCAAAATGGCGTCCGTGACTTTTAATATTCACGGTCTCGTGCAGTCACGCAAAGTCGCGTTACACACATGCTAATGAGGTGTGTCTGGGCTCCATAAAAGCAGGTTGCTTGGAGACATTGGCAGACCAACATTTCACCCGTGCTTGGTGCACATCGTTTTGCGTTGCAGATATTTTCAGACGGAAAGAGTTGCGTCCCTTACACTGTTTAAGTCGACTCATTTGCTACACCAAAGCATGCAATGGCCGAAATGTCATGAATATAACAATAATGATGAGAACAGTCCAAAAAATGTAAACAGTGCAAATAGTTACAATACCTCACCCCAGAAATATAGACAGATCCTGAAGAAGGCCAAAGCATGCAATGGCCGAAATGTCATGAATATAACAATGATGAGAACAGTCCAAAAAATGTAAACAGTGCAAATAGTTACAATACCTCACCCCAGAAATATAGACAGATCATGAAGAAGGCCAAAGCGTGCAATGGCCGAAATGTCATGAATATAACCATAAAGATGAGAACAGTCTAAACAATGTAAATAGTGCAAATAATTACTTATAGAACTTATAGAAGCCGATCGTCATTATGCGCACATTCGTTTCCAAAATAGCAAGGAAACCAGGGTATCACTCTGAGATCTTGCCCCTGTTGGTCTTGTACAAAACTATTCTCCTGAAATACAAGACTTTGACATACCCACTAAAAATTCCAAGACATTAGATCCCAAAATTCCAACACCAAATAAGACTGAATCTATTACAATTACACCAGTAAATGAAATTGCAACTCCTTTACATTGATCAGTGTTCACATAGACCTCCTGACTGCTTAGTCTATAAGTAAATGTCTTGATGTTTTCCTTAAATCAGTTAAGGTTAAAAAAAAAAAAAGAAAATTTTGAAATAAATCCCACGAGGATTTAATCTTTGCTTAATGTCGATTGACTGTCACTATTTTTAGTAGTGATGGAGATCCTAGTGAACATTCCTTTTCACCCCCAAGCCTTTCGTTGTAAAATGGACTGCTCCTGCTTATAAGTAGTCCTGCCTATACAAACTATTCATGATTATAGCATGCCTGGGAAAATAATATTTATTTCCACTATCGTTCACCTAATACAGGGCCCAAAAGTCACTCAAGGTAGAGAGTTACCGAATGAGGTTGTATGTAAAAGGAGGGGGGTAAGAAATGCGGATAATAAGAAAAGATGATAGTCGACCCTAGACTTGAAGGGTTTAAGATTGTAGCAATTGGGGAAACATCTGCTAGGGAGACTGTGCAGTGGTTCTTGAAAAAAAATCTGTCTCCCTTCTCACCAATGGAATACAAAGGCAAATGAAGATGATTTAACCCTGTGTATATGGCATAGTGGGTCTAAGCCATAAAGATCTGAACTGGTGGAACTAAAGAATGTAGATCTTCAAAACATTTTACATGAAAATATCAATAAAGTAGTAAGACGGAAAGGGGTTGTAGGGTGGGAAGGCGTTGGTTAGATCCAGTGACAGGACTCAAAGAGTGTGACTTCAATACCTGGTTAAGGCAGTGGAGAACTTTCAGAGGGAAATTAACAGGAGATAACTGATATCCATTAAAACATAGCACGTGGAACTAGAACAGTCTACCCCAGTGAGTGAAATAAATGGTTAACTTTGACATTCCAACCACCTGAAGAAGGCCAGAGGGTACAACGGCTGAAATGTTGTAATAAATTTGGCGACAAAGATGAGGACAATAGTCCGAATAATGTAAATAATGTACATAATACCTCCTCTCAGAAATATAGACAGATACTGAAGGGCCGAAACGTTGTGATAAATATGGCGACAAAGATGAGGACAATAGTCCAAAATACCTCATCATAGAAATATAGACTGATACTGAAGAGCCGAAACGTTGTAATAAATATGGCGACAAAGATGAGGACAATAGTCCGAATAATGTAAATAATGTACATAATACTTCATCTCAGAAATATAGACAGATACTAAAGTCACATAGATGCTTCCAAAGTCTATCAAGGCTAGAAAGAGAGAATTGATATGGCAGCAATACTGCCTTTTTGGTCTGATTTGACGCATGCAAAGTTGGAGCATTGTAAGAGGAGTCCAGTATATTCTGGAGAAGTACAAGGAACCAAGCATCTTAAGCAAAAGATCAATTCTCTGCTGCTGTCCAAAGTAGGAAATTTAAGTTGACATCTCTTTTGCATAGCGTTTTTCTAAGCGTAGCTTAAATATTGCACAAAGCTGAATGTATGGGGCACCCAGAGAGGTTGAACTCACTACTCAGTCATAATGGTTCTAGCGAGACCATCTTGCTAACCATTACACTGCCTTGACGTGCCCACATCTCTTTTGCATAACAAAAGAAACTTTAGAAAACAGATGTCCTGCAGAAAATGTTTTTGACTTTGGTTTGGATTGTCTTATGGCATATGAACCACAATGGGTTATTTAATGCCAACAAAATTTCCTTTTTTTTTTTTCAAAAATGTATAGCTGGTAATTTTTTCAGAAATGTATATTTTGGTTTGTTTTGTGGCATATTAACCTCAATGTGTTCTTTAATGCTGACAAGATTTTTATTTCTGGTAATTTTTTTTATCTATCTATCTCAGTCTATCTCAGTATATATTTGCTTGGTTTGTTTTGTTTTATGGCATATCAGCCTCAATGGGTTATTTAATGCTGACAAGATTTTTATTTCTGGTAATATTTTCTTTTTTCAAATATTTATTACTGATACTAATATTTTTTTTTCTGGTAAATTTTTTCTTTTTCAAATATTTATTTGATACTAATATTTTTAAAAGTATTTAAAAAAATATTTTTACACTTTCATAGTGTTTTGAGTCAGGTTGTGGGGTCAACTATTTGCCCATAACTGGGTCCCTAACAGGTGCTACCACCCCAGGTCAGGGTGGACCTGGGAACACCAGCAATTAAAAAGTGGTTCCACGCTCCTCAAAACCTGATCAGAGGCCTTGCTGTTGGACATAGTTTATCGTCTTACTCAGGACGCAGATGCAGTTTATTGTCATACCCAGGACGGGAAAATGTTTTTGATACAGATATTTCAGACATAAGAGAACTACTTTTACTGATACTATGGACAGTCTTCTGACCGAAGTTGAAAAGGAGCCATTCATTCAAAAAGAACATACACAAACAATTGAGTTTAAGATAAAACCACCTTGTTCCTTTCTGTGTGAGTGTCCATAGTATCAGTAATAGAAGCGGCATCCACTTTAACCGAAGGGTAATGAGAAGTAAAGGGCTGGATGAGTGATTGTTGAAGATCATGTGGCAACATAACTGGAAATAGTGTATATCCGGCTGCTGATCTATATTAAGTCATGCTTAGGATCAGAGAAAGTTCTGCTCTGCCCTTAGCGGGAGACGAACATGTCAGTCGTGCAGTTCTAAAGCCTCCATTCATATTGCTAGCCACCATACCAAGATGAATAGATGTGTAAGGAGTTAGTAGAGGGAAGAGCTGACAGATCAGAAGTTGTCCTATATACCACCTACCTGCCCACTCAGATCAGCAGGTGAAACCCTGAATAACACATTTACATATTACTGTATTTCCCAGCTTACAAGACACACTTTTTTTCCTAAAATATACCCTGAAAAATACATGTGTGTCTTCCAAGATGAGGCAACGTCCAGGCTCAAATAAACTTGGACGGTCACCTAATTAACTTGATAGATAGGGACGTGGATTTTTTATGTTGAGATATTATACTATAAGTTAGCAAGCTATCTAATTCAGCCTTTTATATGATGTAACCTCAGTACTTAGCTGTTACAAGTATTTCCAAGATTATAAACCTTTCTGGAGCCAAGCCACAACCTTAAACATACTCTGTTTACTAGCAGCAGCAGGTGCCTTTCTGCTCTTGACTAGTAAGTCATTGCCATAGAAACAAAATCAGACGAGTGATTAATGTAAACAATACGTGGCACCAGTATGTGAGGGTTGCATGGTGAATGAGTTTTTGTATGAAAATGACTTTTTTTTTTATTTTAGAAATTTCTTTCCAATATCTGGGTGTATTTTCCAACCCGCAGCACCTTGCAAGCCAGAAAATACAGTATATGGGAAACAGGGTTTGCATTCTTATTTCTCAACATGGCATTTGTTTTTCATCATGTCAAATTGTGATCACACCCTTCCCCAGCTTTCAGTGCACACTGACAAGATCAAGAATTGGAATGCAATGCTAATGAAAAGCTTGAGAAAGGGTAACATTGTAACTTTAGATTATAACTTGCTTTTCTCCTTTTGTAAGACGAGTATTCAGCTAGTATATATAATAATGAAGACAGAAGTGTGGATAAAACCAGGTCACATGAAGAAAGATGAACATCTATTAAATTTTCATCTTTAGCAATATTTGAACACCAATTGTATGTCATTCCCAATATTTGTAAATATCCTCCTTGCTTACTTCTCTTTCTTTCTGCTGCAATTCCTGCATTTGCCGTTGCAAAATGCTCTGCAAATCCTTCTGCTGCTGTAGGCGCTTTGTCTCTGCTGCTTTCTCAGCTTCCTCTGAAGCCTTCCGCCGCTCTTCCATCATCCGGTTGTATTCTTCAGCTTCGGTTCGGGCAGTGTCCAAGCGCTAAACGGAAAAAGAAAAGAAAATGGCATCCATGAAAACAAAAAAGAATGACTTGAGAAAATTCCAAAGTGCAATTTAGAGAGTGAATACAAAATCCTTAAGATATTTGGATAATAAAGAAAGAAAGAAATCCTATTCTTTCTGCTTTGAAATAGTGGTTTGTCTATTCCTAATAAGGCTCTTGCAGATCTCAGGGTGGATCTTTGCAATTTAGAAAGAGTATATGAAATTCTTAAGATATGTGAATAACAGAGAAAGAAGGAAAGAAATCCTATTCTTTCTGCTTTGAAATAGTGGTTTGTCTATTCCTAATAAGGCTCTTGCAGATCTCAGGGTGGATCTTTGCAATTTAGAAAGAGTATATGAAATCCTTAAGATATGTGAATAACAGAGAAAGAAGGAAAGAAATCCTATTCTTTCTGCTTTGAAATAGTGGTTTGTCTATTCCTAATAAGGCTCTTGCAGATCTCAGGGTGGATCTTTTTTTTATTTAGAAAATAGAGTATATTCTTTCTGAAATAGTGGTTTGTCTATTCCTTAAGATATGTGAATAACAGAAATCCTTAAGAAAATAACAGAAAAGAAGGAAAGAAATCCTATTCTTTCTGCTTTGAAATAGTGGTTTGTCTATTCCTAATAAGGCTCTTGCAGATCTCAGGGTGGATCTTTGCAATTTAGAAAGAGTATATGAAACTTAAGATATGAAATCCTTAAGATATGTGAATAACAGAGAAATTTAGAAGGAAAACAAGAAAGAAGGAAAGAAATCCTATTCTTTCTGCTTTGAAATCCTATTCTTTCTGCTTTGAAATAGTGGTTTGTCTATTCCTAATAAGGCTCTTGCAGATCTCAGGGTGGATCTTTTGCAATTTTTGAAAGAGTATATGAAATCCTTAAGATATGTGAATAACAGAGAAAGAAGGAAAGAAAATCCTATTCTTTCTGCTTTGAAATAGTGACTTGTCTATTCCTAATAAGGCTCTTGCAGATCTCAGGGTGGATTTTTGCAATTTAGAAAGAGTATAGAAATCCTTAAGATATGTGAATAACATAAAGAAGGAAATACTCCTATTCTTTCTGCTTTGAAATAGTGAAATCTTTAAGATATGTGAATAATGTGAGAGAAAGAAGGAAAGAAATCCTATTCTTTCTGCTTTGAAATAGTGATTCTTGTCTATTCTCAGGGTAATTTAGAAAGGCTAACTGCAGATCTGACTTGTCTAGGTGGATCTTTGCAATTTAGAAAGAGTATATGAAATCCTTAAGATATGTGAATAACAGAGAAAGAAGGAAAGAAATCCTATTCTTTCTGCTTTGAAATAGTGGCTTGTCTATTCCTAGCAAGAACCAGAAAGTGACTCAGACACTAGATTTCATGACCTTCCTTTGTGGCATATATGGAATGAGACACGCAGAATACAGTTATAAAACTGCAATGGACTGCCACTGACTGTTATAATTTCAAGTAGCACCTTCTGTAATATGTCCATCATCTACTGGTTCAACCATTGAAATCTGTTGCAATTTGCAATTATCATCCATTTATTCCATCACTGGATTCTTTACTGATGGCATGAAACTAATTAAGAAATTTTAAATTTTAATAAAAATTGGATAGGCAAAACTTGTCAATATTATTCAACCAAACATGTTTGAAAAAAAAAAAAAGAAAAAAAGTATCACAACTAATAAATTTTTTTTTATCACTTATTTCGTAAAAAACTCTACAACCAAACTTAGTTACCTCCCCTTAAACAGAGTTATCGATCACACATTGATGCAGCATTCCTCACTCCACAAGTAAGAAATTTAACTTTCAGATAAACAAAACAATTTTGTCTTCGACAATAATGAACACTACAATATTTGTCTAACAATAAACAATACCCTGATGATGATATTGTGCTATATTGAAAGTACTTGGAATAAAAGAAATATGTATCAACACAGCAATTTTCTCTCATCCTTCAATAACGACAACAAAAAGCTTATCCATGAATATGAAAGTATCCAACTGAAAATAAGTAGACTAAATTATTCAATGAAACATGTCTCTCTCTCTCTAATATATATATATATATATATATATATATATATATATATATATATATATATAAATCAAACGCCCAATCAATAAGTATAAGTAAGCGTATACGCACATACTGGTGTGCATGTGTAGGCAAGTAGATAAATAATCATCAAATTTATACATGACGTGTAAACATAATAGGGCTTGATGTGGTTAGACAGAGCAACAATATATATTAATTAGTACATATATGTGTACCTACATTTTGGTGTACGACTTAAGTTTTATTTTATTTTGGGGCTATGTAGCAGTATTCCTCCCATAAGCCATTTGTATACTTTTAGCAACATAGACTTTGTGTTTGACGAGCTGTAATCCAGTGAAACTTAAGTTACACACCAAAACGTATATATATATATATATATATATATATATATATATATAAGCATTACACTCCAAGTAAAATTGAATTGAGTTCTATGAGCTGCTGGTGCATTTCGTATGGAGAAAAACATTAAAATTCCCTTCCTTCCCTGCCATGCAATGATGGTCCAGTGGTAAGAGATGTGACTCATGTCAAATCAGTCAGGTTTAGCCTGTCTAGCCACACTGAGGAGCTGTGATACAGCGAAGCAGTCTGCCTGTGGATGACTATATATATATATATATATATATATATATATATATATATATATATATATATATATATATATATAGATTAATACAAATATAATAGATTGATATAAATTTGTGACTGTACTGACTAATGTTATATTCAACACCCCAGAGTCTCATAGATGAAACTTTGCAATAATTCAGTCCACTCATCAGGAGGTTTCAAGAATGTGTGTGTGTGTGTGTGTGTGTGTGTGTGCGTATCTGTGCATTATTGGAAGAATTTTAAATAAAGTCTATAATGATTATTAACAAATCTAAGACAATCTAAACAAAAATTGAATTTGCTGTGACAGTCTTGGTACTCAAACAAATTCAAAAAGCAAAAATAAAAAGCAATAACCAACTGACCTGTTGCTGATCTTCAATTTGTTCTTTCCAACTGGACACCACATGATCATTTCGTAGTTTGCTTTCCACCTGGGAGGAAAAAAAAAAGAAAGATCACAATTTGGTTTCCTGCAGATTTTTTTTAGTAGTTCATCTAAGTTTTAAAAATCATTGAAAAACAAATTTATTACTTTCTGTTCCCCACTTATTTTGAATGGATTCATTATGCACGAACCTTATCAGCTCTGAAAAGATTTCAAGATAAGTTCTAATATCTTCTTCTCTCACACTTCTCACTGTGGAACATACTTCCAGCTTCTTGCTTTCCTGTCAACTACGATCTTCAGAAATTTAAATATGAAATATTTCCATCTTCAGTCTCCTTGAATCCTGTTCTTTTATTGTCCGTTCTACTTAAAAATGTTTCTTTCACATGGTAAACTCGTGCATCTTAGTGGCTTTATTGCCTTTATTGGGGTGAAATGATTTTTAAAAAAAAAAAAAAGAGAGAAAATTTTAAAAAGTTAAATTCCAGGAGTCCTGAATGAATTGTTGAAAAACCTAAATATGTTAGTGCAATTAAACTGGCATATCTCAAAAGCCATTGGCAATCACGTCATACAAGTTAACTAATTATGAGATAGGATCTTGGAAATCTACATTTTTTGTAAAAAGTACTAGATTTTTAAAAAAGTGAAGAAGGAGAAGAAAAGAGAAGAAAGAAAGAAAGAAAGAAGCAGTTGAGCTGATGATTGAATCAGACATGGTTTCAGGATATACACATCGCCATTAACTCAGGCCTCCCCAGCAATAGCACATGATATCGCTAAGCTGTAACACCAGATACATACAAATGCAGCATCTGTTTTATTCATGGAGATTGTAAGTTTTGAAAGGTATACTGAAATAACATTTGGTATTATCCTGCTTGTTTTCTTGAAGTATTTTTGCAGATCTTCAGGAATTAAAATTACTGGAACCCTGACTGAATTGTTGAAAAACCTGGATACATGGTGTTAGTGCAATTAAACTGGCATATCTCAAAAGCTGTTGAAAGTCAAGTATTACAAGTTGACTTTAAATGAAAGTAAATTGATTTCTCTTTCAAATGGTAGCAAATTTAGCCTCCTTGGTATTTCTCAGAGGAAGCAGGACCTCCTCACCATCAGACATTGGCACAACACAATCTTCTAATCTAAGTTCATAAAAATAAGTGCTTGCTTAAAGAATAAAAACTAAATGATTAAACGAGAGACACTAGTCTCAGAAGATGAAATGAGAGAACAAAAAATATTCTGTAACTGTCTATATTTCTGAGATGAGGTATTATGTACATTTCTGAGATGAGGTATTATGTACATTATTTACATTATTTGGACTATTGTCCTCATCTTTGTTGCCATATTTATTACAAGAACATGGAGAACTTGGAGAGGGGAATTTACAGGAGATAACTGATAACTGACATCCATTAAACATGGCATGTGGAACTAGAACAGTCTACCTCAACAAGCAAAATAAAGGGTTCAGTTCAACATTCCAACCACCTGAAGAAGGCCAGAGCATACAACAGCCAAAACGTGATAAATGTGGCAACAAAGATGAGGAAAATGTAAATAGTGTAAAAAATATTCTATTTGAAATTTAGCCTCATTGGTACTTCTGACTATAAGACATGCTTTTGGAAATTGAAAATGTTTATCCTCTAGTTGACCATGTGATTGCTGTCAGCATTGTGTATTGAAATAATGCCTCCTGGACTGCATGTATGTGAACCTTTCTGGCACAGTTGAGCACTTCAGGCCTTAAATGAAAAAACTGAAAAGCTAGAAATAATCTAAATGTAAGAGTAATGTAAATAAAATAAATGGGTACTTGAAAAATTTGTATTGGACAGACAACATTCCTTGGTTCCACCAAGTCTAAACTTCACAGCTATGACCCACCGTGCCACTCATACTGTAGCAAACCCCACCCACATTCCCTCTGTATTCCATTGGTGAGAAGCAAGTTCCAATCAAACAACTTCTTCATGTGAACCACTGCTCTGTAGAACCAACTCCCAAGAGGATGTTTCCCTGATCACTACAATCTTAACCAGTTCAAGTCTCAAGTTAACCATTATCTTCCTCTTCTATCCTTCTAACTGCCTTAATGTAATCCTCTACCATGAGTAGCCCTCAGGCCTTCTATAGGTTGAACCTTACTGTAAAAAAAAAAGTCTGTTTTTGTTTTGTTATTTTTTTTGTTTTTTTTTTAGAATTATTTCATCTCAAATAAGGCAATAATGCCACTAAGATGCAATGGGTTACTAGGAGTGGAAGAAAATAAGAAGACTTCAGAAAGAACAAAAGAACAAGATTCAGGAAGACAGAAGATGGCAATTGACGTTGCATTTAAATTTTTGAAGATTGTAGGAGGCACAAACCAGTACAGAGTTCCAGAGGCACTAGATGCAAGAAGAGGAATTATTAGAATAGAGCTTATGATTATTTCAACAATAAAACGATGAGACCTAACAGCCAATCCAGTTGTTCATGCAGCTGAAGTACCAATGAAGAGAGCTCATTAGAATGATTGACATGAAAATATTTATAGAAAAGACAGAAGGTAACCACATCAAAGCAATGGGGAAATAACTGAATTTGAGCTGCCAGGTTAGGACTGATAAAATTACAGACACTTCTTTGGATTTTGTTTAGAAAGTAGGGGGTCGATTTCCTATTGTTATTAAGTAATAAATTGATCCCCCTAGAATTACTACACTACAGTGCTGTTCGATAAAAGTGACTCACCTGATTTTTTTTACTAAAAAAAATTTTTATCTATTGTATTTGGGGTTAAAATAATTTTTAATCTTACTAATATAAAGACCCCTTCCTGACCACCTAGGAAAAAAGTTTATTGACCCTAAGATATTCTATTGATAATTATAAATTTGAATATAAATGAGATTCAGGAAAAAACTCTGTGCAAAAAAAGTGACTCAGATATCGCATTCTAATGATTAAACTGGTAAATTTAAAGAACTTTTGACAAAATATTGAAAACTATTTTACAATACACTCAGAATATTCTAGAGAATTCTAGAACAGCTGAAATTAAATCTAGAATATCCCAGAAAGCCTCATACAGTATAAAAACAGCTTGAAATAGCCACTCAAGTCACTAATCAGATGCAAGGGTACAAACACGCATCAGAACCACTTGAGGCATCTATTACTGATCTCTCAAAAGCAAGCAAGTCTATGAGAGAAATTGCTATAACCTCACATTCAACTGTCTCTCAAGTGCTTAGGGCACATAATGATGCCACCCCTGCTCCAAGGAAGGAAACAAGAGGACAAAAGAAAAAGATTGATGATAGAACTGGCAGGGTAGTCAAAAGAGAAGTTGCGAAGAATAGGACTATAACTAGCCAAGAAATTGCAGCCAGTCTAAGCGAAGAGCAAGGTGTTAGTCTTGCCTCTTCAACAGTCCGTCGGTGGCTTAGAACAAGGCTACAAATCTTGTACACGAAGGTTTAAGCCACTAATAAGCAAAGCCAACAAAGCCAAGAGACTTGAATGGGCTCACTATTACAAACATTTCACCATAGAAGACTGGAAGAATGTTCTCTTCTCCGATGAAATGAAAGTTGAGTTAAATTCAAAGGATAAGGTGAGTCACTTTTATCGAACAGCACTGTATATCAGATTTTATGTCAAATTCTGTTCAATCACTGAAGTTAAGCAGTCACAACCCCAGTTAGCACTTGGATGAGGGACCACTTTGGAACACTGGGTACAGTAAACAGCCTTCTACAATTTGAAATATTTTTCAGCTTTAAATAACCCACAAGGTGTTGATAAGCCATATACAACAAATTAAATGAAATCCTACCTTCCACGAAATTATTTGTGCAAAAGTGAATGCAGTAAACAACTAACAATTACACCACATGCACCACCCCCCCAAAAAAATAATTTAAAGGTCAAAAAAATATGAAACAGAGTGGTCTTAATAAGTTTGGGTTGATTGGAAAATTTCCTAAAAAAAGAGAGAAAGCATTGATTCTCCGCATCGTCTGTTAGGCACAAAATCGCTAAAGAAAAGTAAGTGTTATATCCCAGACTGTTGGGATGAACAAAAACAAAGCAAATGTTTTCCTGCCAGCTGAGTCATAATGGAATTCTGTGATATTGTTTGTCAAAATATCTGCTGAATTGTTATTTTGATCTGTTCTGGTGCATAGAATTTTGAGTTGATTCTGGAACTATGCAATCATTGCTGTCAATAAATGTTGTAGTGACTTCTGAAACTGTTTTTGCTGTTGGCATAAAATCTCTTTAAGCATCTCTGGTGGAATTGCCATGTTGATTTTGAAGTTTGAGTCCTCGTTGCCAAAAGTTCATTGCTGTAATTAACTGTTATAGTGACTTCTAAAACTGTTCTCGCTGTTGGTGTAAAATCTCTTTAAGCATCTCTTGTGAAATTACCAAGTTGATTTGTTCAAGTTTATATTACTGTTGGGATGAGCAAAAATGAATGAAAATGAAAGACAAATGTATTTTAACACATAAATAAACTTTTATTCATTGACTATCGGAGAACAGCAAGGATTTGTTTGGATTGAAACCATGAATTCCACATATGTGTCAGCTGGTCACCATGTTCAATTCAGAAGTGACACCCTCATCTTGACAAACAAGGGAAGTAACTCATTTGTATTTTGGGTTATCATCCATTGTAAGAGGAGCTTCCCCCTAATAGTAAGAATTTCAGAAAATCCAAATATTTGCCTTAATTATTAACTGAATAAAAAAAGTTTTTCAGACCATTCAAAAATAACAAGACGAAATAATTATATATATATGTTATACCTGAACGTACCTATTCTATTATTAATAGACTCTCCCACACATAATAAGTAGTAGTAGTAATAGCGGTCGCCAGTCAAGCTCAGTGGAGTTGAGTGAGTCAGTCGATGTCGGACATTGAAGTATCAACCATCACAACTAGATTGCTGCGTCATTAATTATTATTTGCAAGTTCCTAACGTTTTGTACATCGGACCCTTTTAGGACCGACTTAGCGAAATACAAGCCTCCACTGTGAAAACTACTCTACAACAATATAATATTCTCTTGATATGTGGAACGACTACAATCTTAACCACTTCAAGTCTAGTCAACCATTATCTATCCAACATATCCTCATAATATGCACTTCCTGATTTTCCCCTTCTTTACATAAATCTCATCCAATAACCCTTTACCTTGAGTGACTCTTGGGCCTTGAACTGGATAAACAAAAGTGAAAAAAAAAATGGAAAACGCTTACCTCTCTTATTTCTGGATTATTTTGATACCAATGTTCCAAGAGCTTTTCATCTGCCAACTAGTAAACAAAAAATAAATTTGTATCAACATTCATTGCTGCTTTTTAATGTGTTTAATTACAGGAAAGAAGGCTTGGCAATTTTAAGACTCAAAGGATATAGTGAGGGACAGAGGGGAAACAGCAAGTAACGTGCCCAACAAGTTTGTGTAAATGGATGACAGAACAGGCACCTGAAAGGATAGTAAAAAAAAAAAAAAAAAAAACACTGCTAGGAGCTACAAGTGATAGGAAGTTGTGGAGAGCTATAATCGTCCATGTCCTGAATATTTCTTAATAGATTTAATTACTAGTCACAAACAAATGAAAAAAAATCAAAATAACAACACTAGAAAATATTTTTAATAATTTCGCCTTTGTTTGATAGAATTACGAGTAAATAATTTAAAATGGCTTAGTGGATAAAAGTTGAAGTAATCCAAAATGTAACTTGATCCAAAAGAGTTGTGAGTTCAATACCTGAACAAAAATTTGGAGAGTTGAGTTACTAAAGGGAATTAACTGAAACTGAGATTTCCAAAAAAAAAGGCAAGCCACATAGAGCTAGAAAAATCTCCCGTGGACGAAATAAAGAGCTCAGTTCTAAATTCCAACGTATATCACCTGAAGAAGGCTGGACTGTACAACAGCCGAAATGTTGTGAATATTGCAACAAAGATAAGAACAACAGACAAAATAGTGTAAATAGTGTAATAAATATATAGGACTTTCAAAATGTGCCTGTGAGATATATTTTCAACCAAAGAAAAAGCAATTAACCAAAATTCAGATAGGGTAACAATATGCTCAATTGATCCAGCAGCTGACCTCAGATAAATATAGCCATAGTGGATCAAAAAATTTGGAAAGAATTAACACACACAAGCTCAGAATCTGCCATGATACTGCTTTTGCAAATTTTCTTTCTTTTTTTTTTTCCCTTAATCGTTTCACCCCAAACAAGGCAATAAAGTCACTAAGATGCAAGAGGTTACAGAGTGTGAAAGAATACGAAAAAAAAAAATCATTGAGGAGTAAGAACAATAAAAGAACAGGAATTAAGTAGACAAAAGACAATGATTAACGTTGCATTTAGATTTTTGAAGATCAAAGTTGACTGGAAAGCAAGAAGCTGAAAGAGAGTTCCACAAATGAAAATTGAGCGAGAACAATAGAAGAGTAATCAGGAAGACAGTAAATAAAGATTGACATTGCATTTAGATTTTTGAAGATCAAAGTTGACGGAAAAGCAAGAAGCCAGAAGAGAGTTCCACAAGCGAAAAGTGCAAGAGAAGAAATTGTTAGCATAGTACATTTGCATCAAGCCAATTCAAATGTAAAATGTTGAGACATTGTAAGAAATTCCATTGAAGGATATTTTTTTTTTATTTTTTATTATTTCACTCCAAGCAAGGCAATAAAGCCACTAAGACAAAAGTGATGAGTGAGTGTGAGAGAATATGAGAAAAAGAAAATATTATTAAAGAAAGAGAACAATAAAAGAACAGGAAATACTACAAAAGAAGATAATAATTGACATTGCATTTAAATTTTTGAAAAACAAAGTTGACTTAGATGCAACAGATTCAAAGTGATTGATTGATTTTTTTCTATGGCTTATTTCTTTTCAACTCTTTTCAGGTCATTTAAAGCCATAAAATATTTTTATATTTTGACCCATGGATGGTATGTGACACGTCTGATGATTTTATGCAACCCACAAGAGCAAACAAAAAGCATTAAAAAAAAATTTGGAGTATTTTTCTTTCATTTCTTTTTTTTCAATTTGATTCAATGTTTTCTCATCTTTGTAACAAACATAAAAATCAGATGATTATTATCAGGGTTTGTAAAGCAAACATACAAAATCATTTTTTTTTTTTTTCAATAGATTATTATTCCTTTCTTTTTGTAACAAACATACAAAAATCAGATGATTATTATCAGGGTGAGTGTAGACGCAGACCCCAAACTAACTATTAGTAATCTTTTCATTTCTCTTCTTTTTTTCAATGTTGATATGACTTTCTTTTTCCCTTTTGTAACAAACATACAAAAATCAGATGATTATTATCAGGGTGAGTGTGGATGCAGACCCCAAATTAACTATTAGTAATCTTTTTTTCTTACCTTTTTTTTTTTCAGGTTGATATGACTTTTTTCCCTTTTGGCCCACAAAAAAATGCGGATGATGATTATTATCTGAGTGTGGACCCCCCCAAAACTAATCATTTAATCATTTCATTTCTCTTCTTTTATTCAATGTTGATATGATTTTTTTTTTTTTTGTCAGCAAACATTTTTTATCAGGCTGTACAAATTAAAATTTCATTTCCTGGGAACAACAGCAAGAGGTGGTTCCACGCTCCTGAAAACCTCCAATCTCTCAATCGGATGACTTGCAGCTAGATGAAGACTGGGTCCACTCATAAAAAATGGGAAAGTTTTTTTAGGAAATGATTTTTGTACATTAGCATTCTATAGTCCTTCCTAAGGCTTTGACACTTTTCAGAGTCCAAAAATCTATTGGTTTGTTATTGATATAAAAGGAGAGGGCTGTTTATAGCATCAATACAGTGTCAAATCAATCCCTTTTTAAGTTGGGGGGGGGGGTTACGAAAAGTGTTTTCTTAAATAATGAACAAATAGATATATACATATTTAAGTAAAGAACAAAAATTGACATACATTAATAAAATTACATATATCCATTTATTCTTAATATAAAAATAATTATGACCTTAAAGGTTTGTGAATGGGTTTCTGAGAAAATCCCATAAAAAGGTTTTAAAAACAAACTTGAAACCTACAGAAAATTTTAAAATATACAAATATCAATGACTACTTTTATTATTTACATTATTCGGACTGTTATCCTCGTCTTCATTGCTATATTCAAAACATTTTAGCCATTGTACACGCTGGCCTTCTTTAGGTGATTGGAATTTCAAACTGAACCCTTTATTTTGGCCTCCAGAGGAGATTGTTTTAATTCCACGTGCCATGGCTCTTCTAGATGTCTCAGTTATTTCCCTTTAACTCAACTCTCCAAGTTTTTGGTTCACCACTGCTGTGGCCTGGTATTGAACTCACAACTCTTTTTCCCTATTTTTTTTTTATGAGGGGACCAGTCTATTTAAATAGTAGTGAAAATTGCTTTATTCTTCAAGAGCATTTTAACTGTATTGCCCTAGCAAAAATCTTGTTATGATGTGCCCTTTTTGCTGTTACAGTAAAAAAGACCTGACAAAAAACAGATTATCAGAATATAAATTATCGGGTAGATGAAAAAAGTAAAACCCTCTTGCATATTAGAAAAGTCCTCCACATCTTTCAAAATTACTGTTCCTTATTGTTTGTATAATCAGTTACAAGCATCTGGAGAAATCAGAAGCTGGGAATCTGGGCTCGTCATAAAATTATGAAAATAAATATCAATATTCTTTCTCGCTTGACAATTTAATGATAAATTAATTTATTACTAGAGTCCAATATGAAGGTAATCAATGTTTGATCTCAGACAAGTTTCAATATCTAAACTTAACCTTTAGCATGCAAAATTCTTTCTAGAATTGTCTCCCCTGCTACTTCATTGTTTTTTTTTTTTTGAGGGCACAAAAACATAAACACCTACTGTTTTAAAATTTTTATAACTTTCTTTGTATTGTGTGTATAGATTTTATTTTTTGTATACTAATAAAAGAATGGATGAGTAATATTTTGATGTGATGCATTACGTTTTGCATGCATGTTTTAACATTGAAAACAAAAAAAAAATTGAGACATAAAATAAAAACAAATACATTAACAATTTTTCTGCATGACCAAACATCACATTTTGCATACTTTCTGGTTGGGTCCAAAACATTTTAGCACCCCTTAGTAGAAGAAAAGCAGGGAGGGGGACAATAAAAAATAAATTAAAAAAATAATCCCTCACCTGTCTGCGTTTCTCTTCCCGTGCACTTTGCAAGCCCTCAACACGTTCTCGCATATCTTCAAGAAGATCTCGAGTTGTTCGTGGACTCAGCTCTTTGAGTTCAGTCTGAAAACAACACAAGTAAAAATCAAGGGCATGATTATGATGGCAGACTTCAGAGGGTATAAGCAGTATGATTTATGATTGGCTAACAAAGGTCATGTGACTTCAGAAGGTATAAGCAGCATGGGTAAATTTGCAGTATAAACGCCAAAAGCTCCCAGTATTCAGAATGTACCATTCTGGTGTGAAATTGACTGTTTATTTCGAAAATGACATTAAAACATTACCCTGGATTCCCGTTTAGAAGTTATGGACAATGTATTTTCAACTTCTTTCTCATTGTGTACACAGAACGTTGGCCATTATTGGCTTTGTTTACATACGTTTGCCTTGAGTAGGCATGCAGCATGGGAGCTTCACTTGTCTTGATTACTGTGCAATGCACAAATTTTTTAAATGAATGTGCAAAATAATGCACAAAAAACATAAAATCCGTCAATTAAAATAAAAAGTACATGCCTAAAAAGTTAAAAGAAAGGATTTTTTCCTTTTTTTTTTTAAACAATGTTTTTTTTTTATGTGTCATGAAAGTTTCTTGAATTTAAAGCTTCATAAATTACATTTTAGGGTAAGATTCTGTTTCATTAGCTATAAGCAGATTTATTAAGGACAATAAAGATAAAATACTATTCATTTAAAAATTCATTTTAAAAAATAAGCACATTTTAAAATAATATCTGCAAAAATCACGAAGTAATTAAGACTAGTAAGATACAAAAAGCTGTAAAAAAGCCACTAAGTAAGCTTCCACGTATTTTTACTAGAGGAAAACGTATGTAAACAATGCCAGTAATGGTGGCCATACAACATGATAGAGATCAAACATATTAACAATAAATCGAAAACAGTAATCAAGTGCAACAGTAAAAAGATAAAATGGTTAATTTGCAGTATAAGTGCCAAAAGCCCCCAATATCAAGAATGTATCATTCTGGTGTGAAATTGCCTGGTTATTTTGAAAATGACCTTAAAACATTGCACCTGATTACCGTTTAGAAGTTATGGACAATGTAAGTTCAATTTCTTTTCTTGTCACATACATAGAACGTCCACCATTACTGGCTTTGTTTACATATGTTTGATTCGAGTAGTCATGCAACGTGGGAGCTTCACTTGTCTTGATTACTGTGCAAAGTTTTGAAATGAATGTGAAAAATAATGCACGAAAAAAAGTAAAATCTGATAATTAAAATAAAATAAAAATTATGAGCCTGAAAAGTAAAAAAGGATTTTTTCTTTTTTTTTTCAACAATGTTTATTTTTTTTTTATGTGTCATGAAGTTTTCTTGAATTTAAAGCTTCATAAATTACATTGTAGAATGAGATTCTGTTTCATTAGCTATAAGCAGATTTATTAAAGACAATAAAGAAAAAAAACTATTCATTTAAAACCTCATTTTAAAAAATAAGCACATTTTAAAATAAAATAAGTGCATTTTAAAATAATATCTGCAAAAATCACAAAGTTATCAAGATGAGCAAGATACAAAAAGCTGTAAAAAGTAAGCTTCCATGTATTACTACTAGGGGAAAACGTATGTAAAAAACGCCAGTAATGGCGGCTGGACAATACAAAAGAGATCAAACTTACATTGACAATAAATCAAAAATGATAATCAAGCACGGTGCTTTAATGTCATTTTCGAAATAATCAGGTAATTTTACACCAGAATGGTATATTCTCGATACCGGGAGCTTTTGGTGCTTATACTACAAATTAACTGCAACATGATTTATGATTGGCTAACAAAGGTCATATGACTAGTCAGATTTCTTTGGTAGCTGCTTCACTTCATCTTTCAACAAAAAAAAATATTCAAATAAATGTAATCAGGAAAGGTTCACATTTGTGCATAAAAATATCCCTTGAAAAGCTTGGAGCATTAAAATGAATTTTTTTTTTTTTTTACAATAATGTTCACCCTGTACAAGGCCTGAAAGTCTCTCCAGGTAGAGGGTTACAGAGTAAGAGGCACAGCTTATGCAGATATGTGTAAAAGATAACAGTTAACCCTAGATTTGAACAGGTTAAGACTGTAGTGATCAAGGAAGCAATAGGAATAGGATAGAACCAAGATGCAAACCTTGGGGGACACTTGTATTGTTCACTTGGGACTTGGAGTATTGATCGTTAACAACTACCTCCAGGGACCTACCCATTAGGAAGAACCTTATAGCTGAAAAAACTCTTCCAGCAAAAGTAGATGAGAAAAATCATGAAGTAAGGTTACATTGAGCAGAGGTTGATGAGAGAAAGAAACACTTAAAAATCTTAATTATAAGAAAAAGCAAAGATCAAACACTGGTTTAACTTAACAGGATCAAGTAAATGCGTATAAGTAAAGTCCACCCAGCCCTACTCTAGCCTATTCAGTATAGTATTGACACGATCAAAAGTTTTTTTTTTTGATAAGATGCAAATCAGTTAACTGCTGTTACCTGCATACTAATTGGAACTCACTCCATGATTTTCTTCATGACACCCTTTGAACTGATATCTTTAACCTCTCAATTGAGAATTGCACCACTGAGGTTTCTTCTTGGATCAAAGCCAGCATGAATGCTTTCCTTCACTTCTCGGAAATACCAGGTGAAACCTCAATCCTCTTGACGGCTCACACTGTTATAGCACACAGGAATCACTATTTTTGGATATACCAGCATGACAGCTCTCCTCACAACAGGTGCCTATACTTAGCTGCTCGTAATAAATGTCAACAAATCCTCAAAGGCGCTAAATTCCTTTTTGTTGAGAGAATGAGGCATCACATTGCATCTAACAACTTTGGCTTTCATGTTAAAAACTTCCTCTACTTTGAATGGGAGGAAGTTTCAAATTCTGGGTCAAGAGTCACTTGTCAGCATAAGGGAAATCTGATTTTCAAAGAATCTGGTGAACTTTAGATTAATTCCAAGAAATCAGCTATTACAAGTCAAATTATTGTCTTGGTTTGGGTTAAATGATTAAAAAAACTGTACACACACAGACACATACACATAATATATAATATTTACTGCACTTTGAAGTATACATTAGGTGTTTGTACATTGATTACAAATGCCATTTTAATTTTGGCAACACAAAATACCCTCGTGAGTTATACAGTAACAATAGCCACCTCATACTGCAAAGATGTAGTGTTGACACGATTAATAGTTTCTTTGATAAGATGGAAATCAGTTAACTTAATGAAAATGGTTACATTTTATACTAATCAGCTAATTGTACATTGAATTAAACGAAGTTTCAAATTCTAAGTCATGGGTCACTTGTCAGCACTAGGGGCATCTGGTTTTTAGACAAAGAAAGAATCGAGTGAACTTTAGATTAATTCAAACAAATCAACCAAGTATCAATGTCAGGATAAAGGCAAACTATTTTTAAAAACTGTACACACACAAGCACATACACAATATACAATATTCACTAAACTTTGAAGTATACGTTAGGTGTCTGTACATTGATTACAAATGCCATTTTAATCTTGGCCACACAAGATGCTCTTGTTTGGTATATGGTAACAATACCTACCTCATACCGTAAATTCTCATCATGCAACATGGCTGCCAACTGAGCCCGTCTCTGTTTCAATTTAAGAGATTTTCTTTCCTTTTCGGTTTCTTCCTTTTTGCTGTCAAAACTGAAACGAAAACTGAGAACTCATTTTCAAGTCAAAGATTAAGTTTACAATATAAACAGATCTCATCTAAAATTGAAGGCATCTGAAAGATTTAATCAACTTCAACTTGTGGAATCAATGTGATACCTTCACAGGAAGGAGCCAAACTAGTGTCCAATTGGCAGATAAGGGTGAATGATATGTAATTTAACACAACTATGTACAAGTATCCACTATAATAATTTTTGAGGTTATAAAGATAATTAAAATAAATCCATTCATTTTATATATATTATTGAATAAACAGATTAGGGTAATTCCATATCAAATCATCCAGACTGTCACCCTTACCTCACAGATTTTCTTAAAATTTTAACCAGTTGTAGGTATCATTAAAACAAGACAATCCTGAAAATTTGAGCCTCTAAGTCCAATAAAATTCCATCCAGGTATTCTAGAGCCATGAAAATTTACAAATGAAAATTTTTGAAGGTTGAGAAATCCCAAAATGACATCAAAAACACCTAGAAGTTGGCCATTTTTGAACTATGCAACAATTTGAGTAAATTTTGGCATGTAGGAAATATCTCAAAAAAAAAAAAAAAAAAAAAAAAAAATTATGTGGCACTATAGGTAAATGAAAATTTATTTTTTTTAAAGTGTTCCCCATACGACAATCATGAATGGAATTGAAAACGAAATCGTGTTCTTTCATCATTCCCCACAATTAACAATCAAAAATGAGTATTTTTTTTCTGGCCCTTGATATATAGACCTTATACATAATCTCCAGTATACGCTCTAAGGAAGTCCAATAACAATGGATTTTTCAGTAAGACAAGATGAATGAGTGACTAAAGTGACACTCTTTTCATGCCTTAGTCTTTTTAAGGCTTTTATTAGGTCAAATGATCATAAAATACTAAACAGTACAACAGTAAAGAGACAAAAACAATCTCACAAGAAATATTCACATCTAAAAAAAAAAATAAACGGTTTTCTTGCAAGTTTCCTTTCACACAAAATATTCAAAATGGTATATTTTAAGAACTGTTTGGAATTGTAGGCTTAAATTTTCAGGATTATCTTGTTTTAATAATACCTATCACTTCAAAATTAGGTCTTCAATAGTCACATGATATGATTGGAGAAATTACATATCAAATCATCCAGACTATGTCACCCTCACCTCACAGATTTTCTTAAAATTTTAATCAGTGGTAGGTATCATTAAAACAAGACAATCCTTTAAAATTCAGCCTCTAAGTCTAAGTGGTTCAGAAAATATGCCATTTTATAGATTTCACGTGAAACACGATTCACGAGAAAACCATGGCATTACAAAATCCCTTTTTCTTCAATAAAATTCCATTCAGACATGCTAGAGCCATGAAAATTTACACAGGAAAGTTTTTGAAGGCAAGGAATCCAAAAAATGGCATCAAAAACACCTACAAATCAAAAATAGTAAATTTTGGAATGTGGGAAGTATCTCCAAAAAACAAAAAAAGTGATGTGGCACTTTAGATAAATGAAAATTTATTTTTTAAAATGTTCCCCAAATGACAATCATGAATGGAATTGAAATTGAAATTTTGTTCTCCTATCATTGGCTCAAAATTAACAATTCAAAAATGGGTATTTTTCTGGCCATTGGTATATAGACCTTATACTTAATCTCCAGTATTGTCTAGTAGAGACATTTAATCATCTCAAAAAATATAATTAAACCATCCTGAAATCACTTGCATTATTTACATTATTCAGACTGTTATCCTCATCTTCATTGCCATATTCACAATGTTTCAGCTGTTGTATGCTCCGGCCTTCTTCAGGTGGTTGGAATTTCAAACCAAACCCTTTATTTCATCCACCAGGGTAGATTGTTCTAGTTCCACGTGCCATGCCTCTTCCAGATGTCTCAGTTATTAGTAATAATGTAAATAATGCAAGTAATCATAATACCTCATCTCAGATATAGACAGACATCCTGAAATCAAAATGTTGTTTTTTTTTATTTTCATTTATAATTAACACAGAATAATTTTGCACAAAAAGCTGGCAATGTTTAACCTTCATGACATCAAAAGGACAGTTATTCCCTTGACACCACTATTACTGCATACACTTAACTCCCTTAGAAATGTTTATTTACAAGATTATTAAAATATGTGAACCAAGTACAATGCAATATTTATTATTTATCTTTTATAAATATTTATTTACCATTTTTATAAAGAAATAAATTTCAAAAGAAATTTTTCATTTAAAGATAAACTACAGATAACTACAATCTTCAAAAATTTAAATGCATTGTCAATCGCCATCTTCTATCCTCTTGAACTCTCCTATACAGTCTTTTCTTTCGCCTTCACTCCTTGTAACCCCTGTGTACTAGTGGCATTCTTGCCTTGCTTGGGGTGAAATGATTAAAAAATAAAATTAAAAATGTATAAATCTAGTTTCATGTTTGAGTATTATTCAAATTCTAATTATCACTTTTTCAAACAATAAACATTGCCGATTTAGTGATTAGCTACTTCAGTAATTAAATGTGAAAGGTTTCTTATGAGAACATTTTATAGCACATGAAATAAGGGTGGTGTATAGAGTACATGCATAAAATAACAGACCAACTAATTTGCAATTCAAAGATAAAATTAATTAACAGATCACAACAGCTATTAGGGACATGTGATTAAATATACTTTAATTTTTTTTTTTTTTTTATTTTTTTTTACATATTTATCAAAAACATTCTTTAACATGTATTTATGGATAATATACATTAATTACTAATTTTTTTAAAAATTAATAACTATTTGTGCTCAGTTGTTGACATTAATAGCTATCTGCTAACGGGTTAAAATATTGGAATAATGCAATAATAAAAATTTAAATTCATCTCTGATAGATATGGCGATCTGTAAAACAAAATCAACAAAAGTAAGGTTTAAAACAAGGGTTTCTTTTGTTAAGACATAAATTGTATACACAATGAAATGTTCATTAATGTGTTATCATGGGAACTTATTTTGTTGGTATGTTTTATATGAAGCATTCGCAGTCCTTGTATCTTCAGTGTGGAGAGTTCATGTCAGAAGTTCAAAAGAGGGGAAAACCCAGAAAGAGTGTGTTACTTTAGGGTTCCCTTGTTTTTATAATCAAAATCAGCTGCTGATATGAATTTTATTTTAGAGCTGCTGCTGATACTATCTTTAATGCCACTACACCAAGTGTGTGAAGGAAGTTTAAAATGATAGTGGTGTCAAGGGAATAACTGTCATTTTGACACACTGTTTTTTTGTGTTCATGAAGCTTAAGCATTGTCAAAATGTTCTTATTAATTAATTTTCATACTCAGAGTAACTTTTATCATTCTTTAAGAATCAGGTTTTACGCATTTATTTTCTATATAAAGGATATTAGTCTGTTAGCCACTTGTATAATTAATGTGTAGGGTTTCTTACAAGAATATTTTACAATACATGAATTAATGGTGGTGAAAAGGTACATGCACAAAATAACAGAGACCGATCGATTTACAATGCAAGATAACATTTAACAAGAATAATAAAGGGAAAGTTTAAGAGTTTCTTTTCCTAGAAGTAAATTGCACACACAATGAAAATTGTTAATGAATGTATTCAAGTGTGACTTGCTGGTGTAAGTGTGCTTGTGTGTGGAGTGTTCACAGCCATTTTTTACTTCTGTATAAAAAGTTTATAGCACACACTTCAAAAGGAGGAAAAACAGGAAGAAAGTTATTTTAAGAGTTCGTATTGTTTTTATACCCCCAGGTCTGCTCCTGATACAATCTTTATTAAGGGCTACTGCTGATACAATCTTTATTAAGGCCTGATCCTGATACTATCTTTATTAAGGCCTGCTGCTGATTCAATGTTTATTAAGGCCTGCTGCTGATTCAATGTTTATTAAGGCCTGCTCCTGATTCAATGTTTATTAAGGCCTGCTCCTGATACAATCTTTATTAAGTGCTGCTGTTGATACTATCTTTATTAAGGCACTGCACTAAGGTTTAACATATTTTGTAAGCCCTACTTGGGATATCAATGATTACAAATATCTATCATGTATACGTATATAAGCAAAGAAAGAATGAAAGTTTTGTGTTATGGCAACTTCTATAATTAATGCATAAGGTTTTTTTATGAGAAAATTTTACAGTACACAAATATGCACAAAATAAAAGAGACTGATTGATTTATCATGCAAAATAACATTTATTTAACAAAACAACAAAAAAGGAAAGTTTAAGAGTTTCTTTTCCTGAGAATAAAATTGCATCCACAATGAAAACTGTTAATGAATGTATTTGAGTGTGACTTGCCTGTGTAGGTGTGTGTATAAGAAGCATCACATCCCTTTTTACTTCAGTGTGAAAAGTTGATGGCACACACTTCAAAAGGAGGGAAAACAGGAAGAGACAATTACTTAAGGCTTCACCTATTTTTATACCCTCAGGGCTGCTGCTGCTGGTGATATGTTTATTAAAATACTGCACAACTATTCACAATCAAAAATGCTTTTAATGTCTTTATTAGAAAAATGTTTATTTATGATTACCTACCTCATGCAGGGATTAAATTTTTCTGGTTTGATTATCATGTTTAAATTCTCCTTTGTATTTTTAATTCAGTTTATGATATTGTTGTATCTCATGTTTTTGAGATCCCAGAGAGAAATAAAGAAGACAAACTCATTGGTAAGTAATGAAATAAAAGGTTTACTTAGCAATCAACCTAATGCTAACTCTCTTAACTCCGCTTATTTATATAAATGGACGATTCAATTATATTTATGTCCTATATGACAGTTATTTAATGTTGAATTTTGTATGAGACACCTAGTGAGGATCAAACTCACTATTTAGTATTAATGGTCAACCAGACTAGCCTTGCTAAAGATTACCCTATGATGAGTAAGATTGTTGGCTTATTAAATGTTGATATTTGTATAAGGCACCTAGTGAGGGTCAAACTCCTGATCCAGTATTAATG